CCAACTCTATGATTCTATTATTCTTACCACCAGGAAATTCTTCCTCATGTTCTGGTGGAATCTATTTTCCTGCAGTTTGAATCAACTGCTCTTTGTCCGAGTCTCCGAAGCATTAGAAAACAAGCTTCAATATAACTGCCTGAAATACAGTACTGTACATTTCTCCCTGTTAAAATTCATTTTGTAAATCTTGACCCAGCTCTCTAATCTGTTAAGGCCATTTTGGATTCCTGTCCTTTGGAACATTAGTTATCTCGCCTAATTTAGTATCATCTGCAAATTTGATCATCACGTCTGATTCACTACTAGACAGCACTCTATATTCCTAGCTCTCTTAATGATGGAATAACACAATATTTTCCTGAAAAACCTCCTTCGTGGCATTGTATTATCGCTCGTGTTCCTGTTTACTTCTGTGTTTGTTTGTTTTTAATAACAGTGATTCAGTATCTATGTAAAATTGAGGAAGAAGTGAAATACACACAGAGGGAACAATTAATAATATTTTAATTGTATCCATAAATAAGAACATTAAACACAATCTGGAACTACATAGCATTACAGTGGCTAAACTTAATAGAAATGTAAACTTCTAAAATTATTTCAGGTTATAACAACTCTAGATAACGCATTAAACTATGTAAAATACATTTCTATGTTTTTAATAGTGGTTTCAACATTCTCACAAAAAGAAAGTGCTTTTGAAGACAGTATTGCTATTATTTCAAAATGTCAGATTCATGTAAAAGAATAACATTCATAGCAAGCTTGGGTTTCTTTTTCTATATCTGGCTCAGATTAAGAAAGTGACTTGAGTATATGCATTTCTATGACATCTTAATAGTACTCACATACTGTGAGGAGCTTATTTTGTTACTGAAGTACACTGAGATTCTGTAATGTAGCACTGTACCTATGGACACACAGGAGACAAGAATGTCTCTCTCCCATGTGTGTAGTGTCTATATGCTTTTCAAAGGACAAGAACATTTATTTTGTGCAAAACACACACCCATTTTAGAGCAATCCTCAACATTAGCAGAAAAACCCGTTAAAAGGAATGCACTTGAAGTCAATTCCCAAAGTTTATCCAACTATATTGATTTAGTTTGCATATTTACAAAAGTGCATGATATAGGAGTCAAAAAATATTCCGTGGTAACCCTCAAAAGGTCTGGGTGGGCAGGACAGAAACACCAAACCCTTCTCCCTTTTAGGGCGCATCTATATTGTAGAATGAATGCAGTTTGATATCCTTTATCTGCCATGAATCAATTGTATGGAATGCTGGGAGTTATAATTTTTCAAAGTCTTCTCTGTCAAAGAGTGCTGGTGCCTCACCAAACTACAATTCCCAGGATCAAACCATGGCAGTTAAAGTGGTGTCAAACTGCATTCATTCAACAGCATCCATATGACCTTAGTCAAACTACAATTGAAGAGGGCATGGGACTCACCCCTCTAGCACTCAACTGAATGTCAGACGCACTCAACTAAATGTCAGTGAACAGCGGAAGAGCATGAAAAAGGACAATATTGAGAACTATGGGAAATTATGGATTACCAGTAGCTTGGAAGTACAAAAATTCTTTTCTTTCTTTCTCTTCTTTTTCCTATTATTTTTTTTATCATTATTTTAATTTTTTTGATGGTGTCTATTTGAAAATTTCAATAAAAATTATCTTAAAAAAAGAAAAGGATTCTAGAATGTGTGCTTCCTTTAGCCGTGTCCTGCTTTCAAATGAACAGCATGTGGAACAAGGAAAAAATCAGAAAGGCAAAATTTCAGTCTTCTGTTACAGTCACATACATCAGAGAAGCAGAATAAAACACCTGAAGGATAGGGGAAGTGGAGATGAATAGAGGAAAAAGTTGGCAGAATGCTGGATGGAGAGAGAGATGGCCACTCCTTGGATCAGGGGCTGTCAATCTCTGGAAAAATACATTTAGACAGAATCCAGTGTCTGATAGGCCTTACTCTGCGTAGAGAGATTTACAAGTCCAGTATTATTTGGCAGAAAAGGGATGAGGGAGCGGGGAGGTATCCATCCATTACCAATTCAGTTAGACCCATCTGATGTCCACATTGACAACAGCATGGCACACTTTTTATTTAAGCTATTGCCAGAGACTGAGGCTGGCGAAAAAGGATGTGACGAGGCACATTTTACCCGCTGAAGAAATTATCCCCCCACCCCAGCTATTAATTCAGACATCAACTTTATTGGTTACTTAACTTTTAAAATAATAATAAACATCAATTCACCAGAAATTACCAAAATTGACCGGAGCAGCTAATATTGAAATATAAGACTCCTCATTAAGACAAATATAAAAGCAACCCAGTGTATGTCTGTCAGAGAAACAGATACCTCTGCACACAATTCTAAGGAAACTAGTGAATAAATATAATTACATTTGTATTTACTTTACATCAAACAATTACATCATCTTATGTTTATAATGTTATATAATATCACATGCTTGCATTAATAATAAATACATTATAACCAGAAATCAGCACTGTTTATAAAGGACAATTGCCTAGATAATCCAGTCTTTATAGGCACAATCCAAAACAATAAAGGCTTTTAAAAATGTGATCAGTTGATTTAATGGCTTTTAAAAATCCTAATAAAATCAACTGGACTACATTATCAACTTACACTCATTGTGTATAAACATAAGTAGTATTTTAACTGTGCACAGAACTTCCAAGGCCAGAGACCTTAAAAAGCTTAGAAAAATAGTAAATGCAAAGTCCTGGAACACATCCTCTCTGGATACGGGAGTCGTACTGTATTTACTAAGGATACAAGAAACAGTGAGTAATAGCTGCCTCTGATCGAAACATACGCTGGAGGACTTAGGAAATATCTAGAGAAGACACCTCTGTGTGTGTCACTAAGATCCACCAATGCAACTCTATGGACAATATATTGATTTTTATAATGCTGTTTTAAATGTTTTAATTGTATATTGTAGATAGTTATGGCATCGAATTGCTGTCAGTTTGTAAGCCGCCTTGAGTCACCTTCATGCTTGAGAAAGGCGGGATAGAAATATCGCAAATAAATAAATAAATAAACAAACTTCGAGCTAAAGCATACCATAGAATCACCTGGAGGACCCAACACAATGATGATGAACCTTTCAGAGATGGAGTGCCTAAACCTGGGGGGGGGGGGCACTTGAGGGGAGGACAGCAAGCAAGCGGGGGCAGGCAGGTGAGTGAGCAAGCAGTGGGCAAGAAAGAGGGGGCGGAATGACAGGCCATGAAGCATGGGCTGAGAGTGGGCGCTGCGTGCCCCTTCTGGCATACGTACCATAGGTTTGCCACTACTAACCTAAAAAGTGGCTGAAGAGGACTTTTTTTCTGAGATGCGGATTGCTTATCTGCAACTATACTTCTTTGAGTGGTTATCTGTGAAACCACACAAATGGGTTATTTTGCACCTGCTTGGAAACTCTTACCATTTCTCTAAAGCCTTTTTTGCAGTAATCCCACCAATGGAAACACCTCTGGGCATATTGGATGGAAATATGAAAATACACATCCTTGAGCTCCAACGTAGCGAACCAGTTATATGTAAAGATGGTCTAGATCAGTGGTTCTCAACCTGGGGTCCCCAGATGTTTTTGGCCTACAACTCCCAGAAATCCCAGCCAGTTTAACAGCTGTTAGGATTTCTGGGAATTGAAGGCCAAAAACATCTGGGGACCCCAGGTTGAGAACCACTGGTCTAGATTGATTCCACATTGGGGTAAGTGTAGGCTGACAATGTTAGGATGATGTATGATCAGCGAAAAGGATGTTATGAAACATGGATGTCAAAAATCTTTGTAGTAGTCCTCATTTCTTCATCGTGGTCCCTGTGAAATCACACATATGGTATTTCCTGCACCTGTGCAGCCAGTTCAGAATCTTCTAGAGCTCTAGGATACATTTTGGCAGTAGCCCCACTCACTTTCCCAATAGAGTATATAGCCAGTGGGAGGGGCTACTGCCTTAGTTCCTTTAATCCGCCACTCTCGCAGCAGATAGGGAATCTTGCTCTCACTAGTTAGGATTGCTCTCACATTTTCTCTGAATCTGACATGGATTGTATCTGGACTGTTGACCTCTCTAATCCTAACACGAACTGCAGGCAAATTATTTGCCACTGCAGCCTCTATTCAGGTCACACATGGTTCCATTCAGCGGACATCTCTGAGGAGGACCATACCATCGCAGAAGAACTACCAATGGATAACAGTGGCCTTTTCAATCATGAGATTGACTCTGTCCTTAAACATTCAGGAGATAAGACAAACTGCTTATAAGTACGGCTATCAATCACAACCATCTTATCACCCAAAGCCACACTGGCAATTTTCAAGTTCGTCATCCTATCATTGACCCTATGGGGGAACACTGAATGAATTTCGCAATCTAGCGCAGTCCAAGTTTCAAACCCAGAAGTAGACCTTCCCATTTAAAGGTTGCCCAGCCAGTAAGGCAAAATAGCAAGGCAGCTCAAAATGGCACCTTCAGCCCATCGCTGCATCTCCCAGTTCAGGACACTAGTTCCTCTCCACCCATTGGTGAATGATGACAGTCTAACCCTGGATGCCACTTCTGGTGACTCAATAACTAACAGCCTTATTGGACATGTTCCCAAGCCCATGATTTTTGGTTCTCAACTTTCACCCTTTTTCATGGCTTGGTGTGAAATTACCTTGAACAGTTGGGTCCTTGAGATTGTGGAATTTGGTTATTTCACTAAATATTTTCAGATCCCTGTGGGTTGTCTCCATGTTACTCCAACATCTCCCCCCTTCTGGGAGGAAGTTTGTACTCTGTTGCATAAGGTTGTTATCCAACGTTTGCACCCCTCTATGCTTTGTTTTTTCTCACATTACTTTTAAGTTCCCAAGTGAGACAGGGGTAAACGGGCCCACCCTGGATTTGAGGGGCATTAACAAGTTTATTTGCCCCTGGAAATTCTGGGTGGTGTCCCTTTCCTCAATCCTTCTATTACTGAATAAATGTATTTGGTTTGCCACCATTGATTTGAAGGATGCTTACTTCCATATATCCACACAGAAGAATTATCAAAGATTCTTGTCATTTATGATTAGGGAACAAGCTTTTTGTTTCAATGTCCTCTCCTTCAGACTCCCCGCATCCCCTCAGGTCTTTACTAAAAGAATGGCCGCTGTGGTAGCATGCCTTTACATTAGAGGCTTTACAGTTTACCTATACACTGATGACTGGTTGTTGATGGCCAAGACCGCAACTAACCTCTCACATTTTTTCTACATTATCCTTTCTCTAGTCCTTAGGTCTGATAGTGAACTTGGAAGAGTCACATTTTGAACCGACATGTCGCATCCAATTTATTGGAGCTATCCTGGATTCCCAACTGCAGAAGGCGTTCCTCCTGGAGGACTGATTTTATGCCCTGAAGAATGCTTCCCTTCAAGCAAGTTCACAACCATATCTATCAGCCAGGCACATACAAGTTATCTTGGAACATATGGCTTCAAATACAGCAGTCACCTCGTATACCAGGCTCCTCCTTCAGCCTCTACAGTCGTGGTTCCTCAATACCTCCGACCTACTGCCAGGCAACCCCAACACTCGTTTGTCACTCCCATTGACATCCAGCACTCCTATGATGAACCAAGAGGTGGAATGTCTCTGTGGGATTGCTTTTAAAACCACCCAATCCTACCTGGCTTTTGATGACAGATTCTTCCCTGCGGGGATGCGGTGCCAATACCGACCACCTCACTGTCCAAGGAACCTGGTCAGAAGAGGAGTCTTCCAACCACATAAACTGCTTAGAACTCCTCATGGCCAAAAAGGCTCTGAGAGCCTTCAAACCCACACTGTCAGAACACGTAATGCAGATTATCAAGGACAACACCACTAACAAAGTATTACATAAACAAGCAAGGAGCAACACACTCTGCCCCATTTCTGTCACTCATACTCCTCCTGTGGGACTGGTGCATCACCAAGCAAATAAACCTAATGGTGATCCACCTTCCCGGAAAGACAATGTCTTAGCAGACCACCTAAGCAGAACATTGCTCACCATGAGTGATCACTCCACATTGAGAAATTGATTCCCCTCTTTGGCCATTGGGAAGTCCCAGAGGTGAACCAAATTTTCAAAGCAAAATTTCATTCAGAAACAGGCCTGGACTGCACGGGTCTCCTCTAAACACAGAAGGAACATAAGTGCAGCCATCTGCATCAGGCCATTGACCTCTGCACGACATGCATTTTGTGGCATCGTTGTGTATGCCACCGCTGCAAGGAGTAGAGAGAAAAACTAGCCTGTCTGTTGAGCGTGAGCAGAGTCTGAAGGACAGCCGAGTCATAGCTAGGAAATCGGTCAATCAATGAGTCAAGTCCATGGTAGTATCAAAAGGAGTAGTCAACAAATGTGTCCAAGTCCAAAAACCGTGAAGAATATGTGCTAGAGAGGTTCCTAAAACTGCTGCTTTTGCGGCAGACAAAAGGAGTTAAGACTTCAGCCCCGCCTTGGCAACACACACACACACACACACACACGGGAAAGTGGGCAAGGCTACCACCAAAATGTTTCATTTTATAACTTCTAGACGGTTCTGAACTTCTTTGCACATGCGCAAAAGACCCCTATGTGCGATTTCACAGAAACCATGATGAAGAAACACTAAAACAAGAACCCCATAATATACCACACCAAAATTTCTTCCCCATTTCTACATACAAAGACTAACTTCTATCTACCTCCTGAAGGAGTGATCAATCGCTCAGCGATCCATCACTCCTTGACAGCAGCATTGATCACAGTGCTGCTGTCATGGAAGAAGTAAAGGAATTGAGGTATTTGGTGGAAACCACCCACATCTGCAGCATGAAGAAGGGACAAGGTTACAACCAAAAAGGCATCAGAGAAGCTCTGCAAAGTTCTCAGTGGTGCTTTGTGCAGGTGCAAAATAGTAAAGACCACAAAGAACTGTGGGTAGTGGTCCCACAGATAAGGGTGTCGTATAGTACTTGAATTTAGCTCACAAAATCTCCCCAGTGAGACCAAAATCCCGCATTTTAGCAATTCTGAGCTTTAGTCCTACCTACAGTACCACTCCCACAGACTCTTTTCAAAGTACATAAACAATTTAAAAACATGATTATAGATTTTCAGCTGCAAACAACTTAAAACTACAAAAGGGCAACAGTTTGTTATGTCACTCTGGAGAGGAAAGATATTGATCTGGCAGTTGTACAATCACAGGCCTTTGCATGCAATTCTAATCTGACCTATTTCCTTATCTAAAAGAATAGGACAATTTATGCTCAAGAGCAGTATTTATCATCTTGATAGGGAAGTACACCTTTGAGGAAAGTGTAAACTTGCCTCTCTTATCCAGTGAAGGATATTCAGCAGTTAATAAAAGACACATTATGACCTCACATTTTAAAAGGTTTTGCTATTTTCTTGATAGAAATATATTTGGCAGTGGCTGAAAAAGTGCTCCATTTTGTACTTTCAACACATACACTACTCTAGAAGCTAAATACTCTTGCTCTAAGCTTGAAGGTATTTCTCTGTCAATCTGCAGAAATGACTGGTATAGTCCTCATATAATACATGATTCTCCTTTCAGCAAAGGGAGACACCACATCAAGACAAAGAGGAATATTATTTTTTTATATCATGACCCCAGGAAAAAAATATTCAGGATTTTTTGTCCCTCTTAGGCCAACAAAGCATTTAAAACCACTGGAAAAGCCTGTGAAAAGCATCATCCATCTGCTGGCATTCCTCATATGACTGTCACTGTCAAGCAAATAAAAAAAATATATTACATTAATTCTATGAGAACTGGGGACATTACTTGTCTGTTGGTTTAAATATTAAACAATTAGAGTTGCTTTAGCATTAAATAACACTCGAAATCCTCCTACTTTACTGACATGTTATTTGATATTTCCTACTGTTCGCTTCCTGCTTCTACCTTGGTGAATCTAGCTTCTCCAATTGCAAGGTCTTTCTTTATCAATGAGCCCTACATGATGCAAATTGAGGAGGGAATCTGCAATAATCCGCGCCGTCCTCTTCTGATAGCCTCCAGAGGTCACCATCAAGATTGGAATTCGGTGTCTCCAAGCAGCTCTGAATACGATTTCATCTCTTTCAATAATTCCCTGTAAATGTTCATTAAGGAAGAAGTCATAATGTGCATGTTGAAATTCACTGCCTGAAAAGAGATCTACTGAACTATTCCCAGAATCCCTGGTCATTGGCTACTATGGTTGGAGCTGTTGAGATAGTCCACCAAGATCTAGGGGTCTATACATTTGTAGGTTGTTTACATTTTTCTGCCAAAATGCATAGCAACCTAAACAACCTGGGTTGTACTTTTCATTTGATTCCACATCAACATCATCATCATCATCATCAACAAGTACCACCTGCCAGCAATAAAGAATTGGTGAGATCATAAACCCGCAAAGGTCGTGGAAAATGAACATGCAAAAATACTGTGGGACTTTCGAATCCAGACTGACAAAGTTTTGGAACACAATACACCAGACATCACGATTGTGGAAAAGAAAAAAGTCTGGGTTAGTGATGTCACCATACCGGGTGACAGTCGCCTTGAGGAAAAACAACAGGAAAAACTCAGCCGCTATCAAGACCTCAAAATCGAACTGCAAAGGCTCTGGCATAAACCAGTACAGGTGGTCCCAGTGGTCACTGGCGCACTGGGTGCCGTGCCAACGGTTCTTGTCTGGCGTTTGGAAACAAAAGGCCACCTCACTTGCATCTGCGCACATCATTCGAAAATACATCACACAGTCCTAGATGCTTGAGAAGTGTTCGACTTGTGATTTTTTGATATGAAATTCAGCATATAGATCTCATTTGCTGTGACATACTGTGCTTTTGTGTTAGTAAAATAAAATAATAATAATAATAATAATAATAATAATAATAATAATAATCTTTATTTATATCTCACCCCATCTTCCTGGAGGGACTCAGGATAGAACAGCCCTGAGTCACCTTCGGGCAGATATGGGCAGGATAGAAATAACATAAATAATAAATTAACATACAATCAAAGCACCCCTGACAGATGGCCATCCAGCCTCTGCTTAAAAACCTTCCAGGAAGCATATTCCACTGCCAAACACCTCTTATCATCAGAAAGTTCTTCCTAATGTTTAAGTGGGATTCTTTTTCTTGCAGTTTGAATCCACTGCTCAGTGTCCTAGTCTCTAGAACATCAGAAAACAAATGTGCCCCCTCCTCAAGGTGACATTCTTTCATATATTTAAACATGGTTGTCATGTCCCTTCTCAGCCTTTTTTTTCTCCAAGCAAAACATGCCCAGCTATTTAAGCGTCACAGGGCTTGGCTTTTGAACATTTTATCATTTTGGTCTCCCTTCTCTGGACACCTGCCATCTTGTCAATATTCCTGTAGAGCCCAGAAATGAACACATTGTCATTCCAGGTGAGGTCTGACCAAAGTCAAATGGAGTGGGACTAAGACATCTCTCTATCTAGACAGTAGACACCTATTCATTGGCTTTTTTAGCTGGCACATCACACTGTTGAGTCATGTTCAGCTTGTGGTCAACTAAGATTCATAGATCCCTCTCACATGGACCGTTTTCAAGCCAGGTGTCATCCATATTATATCTGTGCAGTTCATTTTTACTACCTAAGTCTAGTATCTTACATTTCTCCCTGCTGCAATTTATTTTGTTAGTTTTGGCCCAGCTCTCTATTCTGTTAAGGTCATGTTGAATTCTGAATGAGATTAACTTGTCCTGACATAGGTAGTATTTATCTTGGGAGAAAACAAAAACACCCGGTTGTTGGTATCAATAACGTGGAACAGGAAGTACAAAAAAGGAAAGTGGTCCAGCACTGGACATGAAACAGGGTTGACCAAGTACATCCAGAAGGAATAATGTGCTCACCTTGCAAGGTAACTCACTTCTATAGGAAAGCATTAATTGGCTATACAAACCTGAGGTGAAATAGCCAGGCCTCCCAAGGGGTCTCCATACAGAATATCAGTTCCAGCATTATAGATAATGATATCTGATTTCACTTCATTCAATGCACCTTCCACGTGCATTCTTACTTTCTGAAGATATTCTTCATCTTCCGTGCCCCAGTTCAATTCGACTTTACGCCTTATGGCTCCTGAAAAATTATCATAAAGCTAAATACTATGAAAGACCGAGAGGAAGGGAAGCAATGGTAAAAATTATTTCAGATATTTATTTTGCACTCCTTCAGACACTCAACTGGGAATTATCTCCATAGAATTCAGTGGAATTTATTTTATTTATTTCTGAGTAGACATCGCACTCTACAGTAAACAATATCTGAATGTATTGTCGAAGGCTTTCATGGCCGGCATCACTGGGTTGTTCTAAGTTTTTCGGGCTGTATGGCCACGTTCCAGAAGCATTATCTCCTGACGTTTCGTCTGCATCTAGGGCAAGCATCCTCAGAGTTTGTGAAACTAGGAAAATGGGGTTTATATATCTGTGGAATGTCCAAGTGGGTGAACGAACTCTTGTCTGTTGGAGGTAGGTGTAAATGTTTCAATTGGCCAACTTGATTAGCATTTAATGACCTAGCAGTTTCAAAGTGTACCTTCTTACTGCCTGGGGGAATCCTTTTTTGAAAGGTGATTAGGTGTCCCTGGTTGTTTCTTGTCTAGAGTTCCCCTGTATTGCGGGTTGCTTTTTATTTACTGTTATGATTTTAGAGTTTTTAAATACTGGTAGCCAGGTTTTGTTCACTTTCATGGTTTCTTCATTTTTGTTGAATTGTCCACATGCTTGTGGATTTCTGTGGCTTCTCTGTGGGATGCTGGGATACAATTTGGAAAATATCTGCATGCTGGGGTCTAATTTTGAAAAATAAACCAGAGCTTTCCAAACTGTGTCATGATGTTAGTATATCAGCTGCAGTGTGTATATGTGTCTCACAAAAGTAGCAAGACACCTCCGAGTCTATGTGAAACAAGCCCTGTCACATGTACAATTGGAGGACCTTTTCACAGAGACACCAGAGGCACTCTAAGTGGCCAGCTTCTTGTCAAAGGATATTTAGCATAATGCCAAGATTTTAAAACTTTGTATTGTTAAAGGCTTTCATGGCTGGAATCACTGGGTTGTTGTTGACTATGAACCAATCTGTAAACCAGAGGCAAGTGATTGTTGGAAGCCTGAGGGAATGTATTCACCTTCTTTGAGACCTTGGAGGACTGCTCCTGACAATAAAAGCCCCAAAACACATTTACAGGGTACTGCTACCATGTTGGGGGCTTCAAAAAAGTTTCTCTTGAGCATATATTGGCCTGGGCACAACATACTGTGGAAGTGAACAACTACTCCCTACTGAACATTTCAGAACACTCCAATGCAATGAAATTGTCCTCTGTGCCTGTTTGGATATTTTAAGCCAAAAATATTTGGGTAAAAAATAATCAGGGGTGGGTTTTTAGAGAAGCGGCCCTCCAATGTCCTCTGTGGGCACAAAGCGGGTTCCTAAGCCTGATAGTTTGCCCATCCTTAATTATAGGATTGAAGCCTCAGGTTATGATGAGGAAATAGAAACTCTTCTATTTGAAAATGTGTTTTAATTTTAATTTGAAAGTAGTTTTGGATACTCACGTTTAGCAAATCCATCTCCCGGATAAATAGAACTGTTATATACATCCATAATGTACACTCTTTTGTCGTCCATGAAGTCTCTTTCATGACCATTCCCCTATAAGAGTTACAACCAATTCACATAAAGCAAACTAAATGAATGATGAACACTAGTTAATGAAATTCAATTTTCTCCTATATTTTATCCCACTTACATAATATTTTATTGTGATATTAGTATACAAAGGGGTCTCATAGCACTTTAGAGACTGAGAGAATACAGTTGGTAGCATAAGCTTTCGTAGACTTGGGGTGCATCTTCATTGTAGAATTTATGCACTTTAACTGCCATGGCTCAACACCATGGGTGCTTGGGAGCTGTTGTTTTACAAGGCATTTAACCTTCACTGCCGAAGACTGCTGTTGTCTCACCAAACTACACATCCCAAGATTATGCATCATTGAGCCATGGCAGTTAAAAGTGATGTCAGACTGCATTAACTCTACAGTGCAGAAGCAGCAGAAATCTGCTTCTTCAGATGTAAGACGTAAATCTACCAACATCTTTCTTTCAGTCTCTTAATATACTATAAGATTACTTTGCATACTAGTAGTCTAAACAAACATGACTATGTCTTTAAGTTTACTGTGAGGTAAACAAGTATAAGACTGCAAGATGTAGTTCTGTGTGCAAAGGTGCACATTCGGCCATTAAAACCAAAACTCTTGGAGGTTGTAGATAAACTAAACAATACTTACACAATACTACTACTACTACTACTACTAATAATAATAATAATAATAATAATAATAATAATATCTCACCCTATCTCCCCGTAGGGACTCAGAGAGGTTAAAACATTTCTGCTACTGTCATAGTTAGGTCCAGTTAAAAAAATTCCATTTAAGTCCTCCATTCATTGGGTACATTTAGCCATTTTCAAAGGCCTGTTTCCATAGCCAGGTTTTCAATTCTTTCCTAAAGATCGATAGTGTGGGAGCCTGCTTAATTTCTCTGGAGAGAGCGTTCCAGAGCCGTGGGGCCACTACCAAGAAGCCCCTCTCCCTCATCCCCACCAACCATGCCTGTGATGGGGGTCTGACCGTGAGAAGGGCCTACCTGGACGATCTTAAGGTCTGAACAGGTTCATAGGGGGAAACACATCACATCACATAAATCCAGTAAGACAAATGAAAAAGAGGGTATGGATATTATTCCTCCTGTCTCCTCAGGATCTGTCTCTGAAACGATTATTCTGTGGTATCTTGAGTACATTTGTAGAACATATATTTTTATTTTAAAATAGACTAAAACAAAACTTTCTAATCAATGTTATCAGCTTCCTATGTAACATAGCTTCAAAGTGACATGACTCTTGCTTTGAACTCAAATTAAAAATTTAAGTTTGTTACTCACCTGATGTGCATCCAAATCGATTATAGTTGCTGTAGAAACACCTTCTATTCTTTCAAATAAAAACTGAAATACAGAAGCGATATAAAAGCAACAACTGGAAAATATTGTAAGACGAAACAAATGTACTCCCTAACAAATTTATTACAACTTAAAACTTGATAGATTTCATCCATATAATCAGATAACTGAAGTATCCTCAACTGATAGGAGAGGAATCAGGGACTAAAGTAGTGAGCTCGAATCCCACATCAGAATGACAATATCTTAAAAAAAACAAACCACCACTGGGGCAAAATTCTGATGATGTTTTTGTCTATTTGTCTATTACCTCCTTATTTAAAAAAAATTACTGTAAGAACAAAATAATCCTTTTTTAATATATACTGAAATTGGGGCACAGGGAAAAGGAAAAAAGAAAAATTGGATATAGTCCAAAAAGGAAAAGAAAAATTGGATTAGAGAATGTCACTTCTTATTGATCAGTGCATTATCATCAATATACTTGAAAAGACTCCTGTACAATCATTTCTAAATTTATCCTAGTGTGCCCTTTAAGAACATTGACTTCAAGCTATCTTTCAGAAAAAGAGACTTCAATCTGAATGCTCTTAATAAGATTTTATCAAGAGATTCAAATCTCTCTTCTGTGGACAAAGGCTTTTTATCGCTCTGCATGTGTTCCAGTTATCAAGTGTAGAGATGTATGTACATACCATTCCAGTTTTGCTTTATTAATGTTTATTTATTTATTTATTTACTTCTTTTGTATACCGCAAATATCAGCCTAAAAAGGCAACTCGAAGCGGTTTGCTAAGTATCCTAAATACAACAAATCTTGTCTGATCTTGGAAAATTAGCAGGGTCAGCCCTGGTTAGTTTTTTTTTCTTCTTGTGTCAGGTGTGACTTGAGAAACTGCAAATCGCTTCTGGTGTGAGAAAATTGACCATCTGCAAGGAGGTTGCACAGGGGACGCCCAGATGTTCTGATGTTTTACCATCCATGTGGGAGGCTTCTCTCATGTCCCCGCATGGGGATCTGGACCTGACAGAGGGAGCTCATCCAAGCTCCCTCCAGATTTGAATCTCCGACCTTTTGGTCTTCAGTCTTGCCTGCACAAGGGTTTAATCCACTGTGCCACTGGGGCCTCCTAGTTAGTAATATAACAGCAACAGCAACAACAACAACAACATTATTTTTGTATCCTGACACCATCTCCTGAAGGGACTCGAGGTGGCTTACATGGGGACTAGCACAGTCAGACAAAGATTAACACAATAAAAATTATACAAATATAAATATCATAAACGAACAGTCAACAATCAACCAATAGCCTAACATAGAGGCCATATACTGAACTATATAGGAGCCAATATCAGGTGGTGTAAGCTATATTTCATAGAATTAGGAACACCACCCCTGAGTACTTCTTCCATAAGAAAATCCTAAGAAATTCATGGGGTTTCTATAAATAGACAACTTGAAGGCACAGAAACACAAACTGCTATCACTGTACTTCCTGTATTTCAATTCACCCTGGATTTTTGCACAGTCCTCAAAACATGGAGATAAACAGTTCTAGCACCTGATGGACCACAACAGTTTGTACCACAAATCTTTGTTTATATTGCAAATAATAAAGCCACCTCTGAAAACTGTGTAATAAGGTGAGACATATAGTTTCATATTTACAAAGAAATTTCCACTACTGATTTCATGAGGATACATATATTTTGACAGTCGCTTTATCATTTATAAAAGCACAGACATTTTCAAAACACCTTCCTTGCTTGCATTTGGAAAAAAAATACAGAGTATGTTTTCAAATGTACTATACTGCAAAAATAAAACACGGTGATAAAAGCCAATTTCCATTTGTTCAATTAATCTATCTGTTTCAAATACTGTTCTGCACCCTTCTACCACATTTCACATTGTAAGGAAAAAAAGAAATAATGTTAACGCTATGGAAATTGCAACAGACATTTTGTGATTTGGGCACTGCCTGCAGGAGATTTTGACATTCCTACTAATGAAATCTACAAAAGTTAAATCCATGAAAATTGAGGGTTGACTGTATTTCATTTTCATGTATACTACTACCTGTTTGTGGTTGTAAATTATTATTATTATTATTATTATTATTATTATTATTATTATTATTTCACAATGGACTTTCCTTACCTTTATGGCCAATGTAATATCTGCATATGCACAAAATCCTCCACCTCGATCACCTGAGCAGTGATGAAAACCACCACCTTGGAAATAAAAAGTAAAGTAGAAGAATGTGCTGAACATGATGTTCTAGGTGTTAAGAAAAATGTGACAGCCTGTTTAATCGTGGGCCATAAAAGAGATTACTTAATTAGTCAAGTTCTAATAACTATTACACATGAAAAATGGTTGCTGACTTACAGGTGCTAGTGCAAGAAAACCAAGAGATGGATCCCAAGGAAGCAGGAGAGACAGGTGTTCTGGGAGACAGCCTCAAAAACAAGTTGTGGCAAAAGTGAAAAGAGAGAAATTGCCACCAGGAATTGATGGAATGATGAGACAGGCTGCTGGGAATAGTGTGAGTGGGATACTGGGGGACTGTGTAATTTTTTAAAAAGTGTAGTCTTAAATGTATTTAACATTTTTATGTTTTCTATATTCATATTTTAATGCTCTGTTTTAATTGTATTATGTCATGTATTGTTAGGCACCTTAAGTCCTTATAATTGGGAGAAAGGTGGGGTGAAAATAAAATACCTATATACTTGAGTATAAGCTGACCCGAATATAAACCGAGGCACCTAATTTTACCACAAAAAACTTGGAAAACTTATTGACTTGAGTACAAGCCAAGGGTGGGAAATGAAGCAGCTAGTGGTAAATTTCAAAATAAAAATAGATACCAATAGAATTACATTAATTGAGGCATCAGTAGGTTAAATGTTTTTTAATATTTACATAAAACTGTAATTTAAGATAAGACTGTCCAACTCTGATTAAACCATTATTCTTACCTTCTTCAATGTAAATGTGCTTTCCCATCCTTCCAATAATAATAGAGTAAAATAATGAATGTAATAATAATAGTGCAGAATTATAAATTTAATAATAGAGTAAAATAATAAATGTCATATTAATAATAGAGTAAACTAATAAATGTAATAAAAATAATAAATGTAAAAGAAATAATAATAACAGAGTAAAATAATAAATAACCTTGACTCAAGTATAAGCCGAGGGGGGCTTTTTCAGCCTAAAAAAAGGCTGAAAACTTGGCTTATACTCGAGTATATGTGGTAAATAAAAACAAATATTTCTGGGAACCAGGATACTTGTTATACAGCTGTAAGAATTAAAACAACAAGAGAAAAATATATGGAAATATGTGAATGAATGGAAATAAGGGCCTGGATAGCTATGACCAGGGGTCCTCAAACTAAGGCCAGGGGGCCAGATGCGGCCCTCCAAAGTCATTTACCCGGCCCTCACTCAGCGTCAACCTAATTCTGAAACAACGTGAAAGCGCACAATAACAACAACAATCCTATCTCATCACCCAAAAGTAGGACGACACTTCCCACTGAAATACTAATAAATTTATATTTGTTAAAATTGTTCTTCATTTTAATTATTGTATTGTTTGTAAGTGTCTTTTGCACTACAAATAAGATATGTGCAGTGTGCATAGGAATTCATTCATGTTTTCTTCAAATTATAATCCGGCCCTCCAACAGTTTGAGGGACTGTGACCTGGCCCTCTATTTAAAAAGTTTGAGGACCCCTGGCTTAGACAGTAAGAATTAACACAGATTAACGGAACTGATCATATGAAGACATCATATAATCAAGAGTAATGAATCATTTTTGCATCACAGTACTGTATTGGACATAAGAATACCTTCCAATTGGTATTTTAGTTAAGGTTAATAATCCAATTTTTATGTATTTCCAGGATGTATGCCCCACCTTTCTTCCAACTGAATCAACTGAGTTTATATAGTACAGGTATTGTTTTATCATTTACCTATTAAATCAATGGATCTACCTTACATAAGTTGAGCAGTAAGGCAAAAACTGTAGCAATTTAAGCAAAAGGTGATGAAGGCTGAAGGGAGGGGGGATACAGTTGTAAAAATCTAGCTACTTACCAACATTAATTGCCCATCCTCTCTCAATGGCCAGTTTCCCTGCCTTTAGAAATAATAATAACAATTACTGGATATTTACTAATTAGTTATGTGCAAAAAGAATAAAGGCATGCAAACTGAGCAACAGTTACAGCAACATTCAAAAAGCCCTCAAGGACATGTTTGTCATTAGCTTTACAGTAGCCCTTGAGGAGCCACAAAATTCAAAGGAAGATAAAAGAGAAATTGGTAAGCCACTTTCAACAGCAAGTTCTAGTCTGTATAGGAATCTCCTTAAGTGCAGCTAATGTGGTAGGATTTCTGACATGTTTAAAAACTAAAGCAATTTGAAAGAATTTGAGAAAAAAACATGTGAAAACAAACACCTTCCCTACCATTATTGTTCCTCCTGTTTGTGTTCTCAGAGGTCTGAGCACTTTCCTCTGTACAAAGAAATTGGGCATAAAAAGAACCGGTGGGATTTCGGTAATGGTAGCCACAACAAATGACCACTGGAAGGAAAAACAAGAATAAGGATTAACTCTTGGCAGCACAATGCTGTTAACATCTTCCCAAAATTATGCCCGACTGAGCTGAACAGAACTGATTCCCAGGTAAACGAGACCACAGCATGAACCATAGCTATGCATGTTTATTCAGAATTACCGTTGCTCTGGTCTGAATTGGGCTTACAAGAAACTGTGTTTGGGACATTCATATTATACATTGATATTATAGCAATGTGCAAAGCCAAAATATATCTTTCAACAAACTGTATAATTACAAAAAGCACCAATGACAACCTGTGAAAATGTTGGTGAGCAAACAAGTTGCATTTAATGATTACATACACAGAAGGCAGCTTGTACAACCAATTTTCTCCCTTGGAAGCATACAATACCCTGCCTTTCATTAATCTTCACTATAAGACTGAGATTCCTCCTGTAGGGCTGTGCCATATAAAACTCCTCAAAGCCCAATTTCAGATTATTTCCCTTTCATTTACAGAGGGCACCCAACTCTCTGCAGATTACATTATATGCTGTTGAATTCAGATTTCTGGTCTCACACACCCCACACCCCCATTTTATTGCTCTCTATTATTAATCTTGGGTTTTCATGCTGAAACGTCATCAGAATAAACACAACTTAGAAAAATGCCCCCAAAATCCAAAAGAATGACATCGTTATATATAGAGGCAAAAATACAGAGCAAGAATGGATAATGGTAATGAAATAAGTGCTTGATGTAGCTAATGCAGTAGAACAGCACAATTAAAATGACAATACAACAAATAACTAAGCTGCATTTTGTATTCATAGCACTCCCAAGTGTATAGCCAAAGCGCAAAATGATTTCTAGAATACCTCTTCAAAGCTTTCCAGTATGTGCTTCTGTAAGCAGTACAAAAAGAGTTGAAGAAAATAGATTCAAACATCTAGAATGACTGGCAACCAGAAATATTGTTTGTATCAGCTATTTACATTGTGAATTTTGAGCATGGCTTTCTGCCATTATTACAAAAGCTACTGTTTATATATGTTTTGAGATTATATACTAAACTGAAATGTATTGAAATCTTAAATAGGAAAATAAATGATCTTTTTAATGCCACGTGGCTTACTGCAGGAACAGGAGTTTTACTATTTTGTATTTTAAGTCCTAGTATGAAATTCTGCCCATACTTTTAATGGTTTTTGCCATAATTAAAAGAAAGACAACTGCATTCCATCATCAGTTCCAACAAGAAGTGACTCAGTTGCATAGACCAAGAAACGTATGCCAAGAATTATAGGGAAATCGTGTTTGAATTTGCAAAAATAAATGCAACCTGATGATGGGATTAGAAATGTCTTACGTCTGCTTTAATATAACAGCAGATATGCACAATTTAGTTGGCTGAAGCAACAGCAAGTCTCTATAAATATCTAGGAAGTTTAAAAATAGCCAAGTTCCTTCCTTATTTTCCTTATTCCTTCCACATCTTTCCATAAAATGAAAGACAACCTGCTCTAATCGTCTCTATTTATCTCAAGGTGTTATGGAAAAATAAGGAAGCAGCATTTTTAAAATAACACAGATCTCAATTCCAATGTCATAATAGTAATTTTAAAATTTTGAATTTGTTTTTTCAGGAAAAATACAGTATACGGCAGAAAATGGAAATATACACAGCACATATTTTCATATCAAGCGTAAACCTATTTGTAAAAATATAAGTGTTTTAGTGTTTACAAACAAAACTGTGAATGCATAACTTACTAAAGAGAAAGGGGAACCTGCTGCAACCTTTTCTAGCTCGAGTATCTGCCACGACAAAAAAAATCTGCCTATTTCTTTTTCCTAGCACATGATGTAAATGGACCTTAGTTTTGTTATTTGCAAGAGGAAAAATATGAAAACAGACATAAAATTGTGTAATAAAGATACTAACATGTATTATAACATGGCAACGAATGGCCTCTTGTAGCAGCAGTCTTAAGGACCAGAATAGTAGCATATCTAAACAAGGTTTAGCACTAAAATATTTAACACTTCAGTAATATGTTATCATTACAGCAAGCAAGATCTCTGTTGCTGCTCTTATGAAGATAACAATTGAAACCTTGTCTTGTGAGTTATTAGTTCCATCTTTTAAAAAACATTTCCACTATGTTTCCCATAATTTCTCCTTCGAAAAAATGATGTTCTCAACCACAGCCCCAAAGCTTGAGGGAAAATTATTTTACTGGCATTTTCCTTATGTTTATTTTTTATTTGTAGCACATGGAAAGAGAAATGCAATATAAGAATTATATTTCTTTCAAATACAAATAAAAGATGTACCACCTTTAATCGATTCAAGTACTGCCGTGTGTGAACAACCAAAAGGTCTTCTTCACTTGCTTCTTGTGCTCTTACAATTGAGTCATCTGTAATTAGTTTTGCTTCTGAATTAAAAAAGAGGGGGGTGACATGTCCATGACATAGAAATAAAATTCATCTTTTCATTTCAGTCAATATCAAAGTTCATCCTTTTCAAGGCAAGCATATAAGACTTTGAATTTTGCAAACATGGCTTTGATTTTTTTTTAAAACATAGCTGCTACTCTGTTTTAACAATCTGCTTTGGAAAGCTGTGTGGTGGCGGCGGTGAGGATGTGGAAAAATGGAGAAAGTAACTTCCCACTGCATGAATTGGATTCCACTTGCCTGCCACTGATTTTGACCCCATGATTTCAATCCAATTTGCTAGACTTGGCTAGCAAATGTTTACTGTTCTACAGAATAAGTCATTCTTTTCAAATGACCATCAGCTAGTTAAATACAGCAGATAGTGTGAATACTACTTTTATGAATACTACAATAGTGTGAATACTACTTTTATGAACCAAGAATATAAGTCTGGCATGCAAATACATGCCACAGTCTTTTTCAATTTCACATTTTAAAATTGTGCTTCTAAAAACAACTGTAAACCTACACATCAAGTAACGATGCATACAAATGACCCATACAATAAAAATACAAAATATGAAAGTAATCCTAACTGGTTTCTGATCAGTATCAAAGCTAACAAAACACTGTCATGCCGATGAAATTGTATCTTGTAATTTGACTTATAAAACATCAGGTTATAATTATTTTCACAAAATTGTAAGTCTCTCCCCCTTGCCACATTTACCTTTTAAGAAATTTATGACTTTCCCCCATTTTCCAGCATCAAATGGGTGTAGTTTCTCCAGTCCCATAAATGTAATGTTATAATCTGGAGAATACACAATAGGCCAACATGTTGGCGGGAAATTTTGATAGAGTTCTGTCCTGTGAGGCCTAAAAGGAAAAGAAGAGCAATTTCAATACTAAAATGAAGTCTAACGGGAACTCTGGATCTAAAATATCTATGGGCAAATACAATCCATCTAATGTATTTTTCCCCAAATTCTATAATGGTTATGAATTTGCTATGGCTAGGGACAGGGAATTAATGCCTCTTTATTAGCAGATCTCTATCTTCTCTACATATGTCATTCAATACATGCTGCACAAGAGAACCTAAAAGAATGGAAAGACCAAAAGTTCAGTTCTTGACACCACAATTCAAGAAGGATATTGACAAATAGCAATGTGTTCAGAGAAAGGTGATCAAAATGAAACCATGCCAAATCCTTGAGGACCTGAGTATGTTTAGCTTGGAGTGCCAACTACAGGCAGTCCCCAAGTTATGAACAAAATAGGTTCTGTAGCAAGCTATTTAACCTCACCAAACTGAAAGCCAAAACCAAAGTTACAACAACATCTGTTATAAAACTCCAATATCCTGATGACAACATCACCTGTGCGCATGCAGAAGACCTACATGCCACTCTAAACAGCTTTGCAGAAGCATACGAAAAGTTCGGCCTGTCATTGAACATTGAGAAAACCAAAGTGCTCTTCCAGCAGTCATCAGCCAATCCCTCTCCAATGCCAGAAATACAGCTTAATGGTGTAACATTGGAAAATGTGGATCATTTCTACTACCTTGGCAGCCACCTCTCCACAAAAGTCAACATTGACACTGAAATACCACACTGCCTAAGCTCTGCGAGTGCAGCATTTTTCTGAACGAAGCAGAGAGTCTTTGAGATCAGGGACATCCGTAGGGATACCAAGACGCTTGTTTATAAAGCTATTGTCCTCCCAACCCTGCTATATGCCTGCGAAACATAGACTATCTACAGACGTTACATGCAACTCCTGGAACAATTCCGTTAGCGTTGCCTCCAAAAAATCCTGCAAATATCTTGGGAAGAGTGGTGGACAAATGTCAGTGTGCTGGAAGAAGCAGAGACCACCACCATTGAAGTGATGGTCCTCCGCCATCAACTCCGCTTGACCGGCCATGTTTTCTGAATGCCCGACCACCGTCTCTCAAAGCAGTTGCTCTACTCCAACTCAAGAATGAAAAACAGAATGTTGGAGGACAGGAAAAGAGATTTAAAGATGGGCTCAAAGCCAACCTTAAAAACTCTGGCATAGACTCTGAGAATTGGGAAGCCCTGGCCTTTGAGTGCTCTAGTTGGAAGTCAGCTGTGACCAGCAATGCTGTAGAATTCGAAGAAGCACAAATGGAGGGCGAAAGAGAGAAACGTGCCAAGAGGAAGGCGTGACATGCCAACCCAGACCAGGACCACCTGGAAAACGATGCCCTCAATGCAGAAAACATGTAGGTCAAGAATAGGGTTCCACAGTCACCTACGGACCAACTGCCAGGACACCGAACTTGAGGACAACCTTACTCGGACAACGAGGGATCACCTAAATAAGTAAGATCATCATGCCATCTCTCTTTCTTCGAGGAAGCTTTTGGAACCTCATTGTAAACAGATCAACTCAGTATTGTGAATGAATATGGAACGGCTTATTTTATTTACTTATGCTATTTCTATCCCACCCATATCAGCCCGAAGGGCGGCTTAACGATGCAAATGGACATGGATTTAAACCCAGAAAGCATTGATTTCAATAGTTCTAAATTGTTTTTATATGAATTTTATTATGTGATTTAACCTGTTTTAAACTATGTATTTATGTGTATTCAACATCTAATTGTTGCCAGTCTGTATGCTGCCCTGATTCGCTTTCGGGCTGAAAATGGAGGGATAAAAGTGTGGCAAATAAATAAATAATTTTGTTGTTGTTGTTGTTTATTCATTCAGTCACTTCCGACTCTTCGTGATTTCATGGACCAGCCCACGCCAAAGCTCCCTGTCGGCCATCACTACCCCCAGCTCCTTCAAGGTCAATCCAGTCACTTCAAGGATGTCATCCATCCATCTTTCCCTTGGTTGGCCCCTCTTCCTTTTTCCTTCCATTTTCCCCAGCATCATTGTCTTCTCTAAGCTTTCCTTTCTTCTCATGATGTGGCCAAAGTACTTCATCTTTGCCTCTAATATCCTTCCCTCCAATGAGCAGTCGGGCACCATTTCCTGGAGTAAGGATTGGCTGGATCTTCTTGCGATCCAAGGCACTCTCAGAATTTTCCTCCAGCACCACAGTTCAAAAGCATCTATCTTCCTTCGCTCAGCCTTCCCTATGGTCCACTCTCACATCCGTAGGTGACTATGGGAAATACCATTGCTTTGACTATGCGGATCTTCATTGCCAGTGTGATGTCTGTACTCTTCACTATTTTATCGAGATTGGTCATTGTTCTCACACCAATGACTTAAATCAATAAATAGTTTTCTAAGATCTACAGAGACACTCGCTGAAACACCTCAGCAAGCGAGAGTCCAAAAGTGGCAGGCTCAAACCCAGAGCCTCAATCAATGGCTGATACCAAATGAGAGACTCCCCCCTGGGCACACAGAAAACTGGGTGACTTGGAAGGCGCTGAACAGACTACGCTCTGGCACCACGAGATGCAGAGCCAACCTTAAGAAATGGGGCTACAAAGTGGAATCCACAACATGCGAGTAAGAATGTAGTGGAGAAGAGCAAACTACAGAACACCTGCTGCAATGCAACCTGAGCCCTGCTACATGCACAATGGAGGACCTTCTTGCAGCAACACCAGAAGCACTCCAAGTGGCCAGATACTGGTCAAAGGACATTTAACCAACTACCAAGCTCGCAAACTCTGTGTCTTTTCTATGTTTGTTTGTTCTGTCAAAAATGTAATACAACTGTTCGGTTGCCTAACACAATAAATAAAGAAATATTGTTCTCCTCCCAAGAAGTGTCTTCTGATTTCCTGACTGCAGTCTGCGTCTGCAGTAATCTTTGCACCTAGAAATACAGTCTGTCACTGCCTCCATGTTTTCTCCTTCTATTTCCCAGTTGTCTATCAGTCCGGTTGCCATAATATTGTTTTTTTTGTGAGATGAATTTGAAAAAAAAAACCTTGGGTTTTTTATTGGGGAGCTCAATTTAAAAAAAAATACACTATTTCATGAATTTCACTAATAACACTGACCAAGACATATTTAAGTGCCTCAAGTGTTGAGCCCTTTTTCTGGGTATATTTGGTCTGTTGATGGTTAAGCTTTATTTATTTCTCGTGTCAGGGCAGCCAGTCAATTATATTACATTTCTAACAGAACAAAGCAAACAAACAGAGAAAATACAAAATGTGTGAGTTTGGTAGTTGATTAAATGTCCTTTGACCAGTATCTGGTCACTTGGAGTGCTTCTGGTGTTGCCGCAAGGAGGTCCTCCACTGTGCATGTGGCTGGGCTCAGGTTGCATTGCAGCAGGTGGTCAGTGGTTTGCGCTTCTCCACACTCACATGTCGAGGATTCCACTTTGTAGCCCCATTTCTGAAGGTTGGCTCTGCATCTTGTGGTGCCAGAACGCAGTCTGTTCAGCGCCTTCCAAGTTGCCTAGTCCTCTGTGTGCCCAGGGGGAGTTTCTCATCTGGTATCAGCCATTGGTTGAGGCTCTGGGTTTGAGCCTGCCACTTTTGGACTCTCGCTTGCTGAGGTGTTCCAGCAAGTGTCTCTGTAGATCTTAGAAAACTATGACTGGATTTAAGTCGTTGACGTGCTGGCTGATACCCAAACAAGGGATGAGCTGGAGATGTCTCTGCCTTGGTCCTTTCACTATTGGCTGCCACTTCCCGGCGGATGTCAGGTGGTGCGATACCGGCTAGGCAATGTAATTTCTCCTGTGGTGTAGGGCGCAGACACCCCATGATAATGCGGCATGTCTCATTAAGAGCCACATCCACTGTTTTAGTGTGGCGAGACGTGTTCCACACTGGGCATGCATACTCAGCAGCAGAGTAGCACAGCGCAAGGGCAGATGTCTTCACTGTATCTGGTTGTGATCCCCAGGTTGTGCCAGTCAGCTTTCGTATGATATTGTTTCTAGCACCCACTTTTTGCTTGATGTTCAGGCAGTGCTTCTTGTAGGTAAGAGCTGTGATTGTAGGTAAGAGCTGATGGTTAAGCTGTGTAATCACTTTCAATCCAGAAATAATACAAAAAATCCTATAAAAGCAGTATATATTTTAACTACCATGGGGTGCATCTAAAGTAGGCCTGGGCCAACTACGACAAAGGGAGGGGTCTTCTAGGCTAGGCCTGGGCCAGCTTGGGCCCTCCAGGTGTTTTGGACTCCAACTCCCACCATTCCTAACAGCCTCAGGTCCCTTCCTTTTCCCCCTCAGCCGCTAAACGGTAAACGGCTGAGGGGGAAAAGGAAGGGACCTGAGGCTGTTAGGAATGGTGGGAGTTGGAGTCCAAAACACCTGGAGGGCCCAAGCTGGCCCAGGCCTGCTTTAAAGGGCCCCCGTGAGCCGAGGCTGGGGATTGTGAGGTGGGAGCACCACAATGGCGGCCCTGTAAACACTTCTCCTCCTTTCCTCCGTTGACAGACTCCCCAAGAGGCCTATTTGGGCGGGAAGCCTTCAGAAGACGGGCTGAAGCAGAAAGACCTCCTCTCTCTGTATCCCCCTCTCTTTCTCCGCCTCCAGCCCAGGCCCCGGCCCGCCCTCCTCGGCTGAGAGCCTGACTCACATGGCGCCTCTCCACGGCGTCTAAGCCTCACATCTCACGAAGCTGCTTCCTCCTCAGGAAAAAGGCGGCTACGGCGCATGCGCGAGTTCTCCTGCGCATGCTCAGACCCGCCCGCCTTCCTTTTGACCACGCCCACTGCTCTGGGCAGAAAACAAGGAGAGAATGGGATGACGTAAAGGATCTGGAGGCAGATGGGATACACATATACACACTGTCCATAAAGTCTCTCTACCATTTAGACTTTGTGGACACCTTGTGTATGTGCATACAGGTGTAGATATTCATATAAAGCAGGCCTAGGCCACTCATAGAATCCTATAGTTGGAAGAGACCACCTGGGCCATCCAGTCCAACCCCATCCTGCCAAGAAGCAGGAAAATTGCATTCAAAGCACCCCTGACAGATGGCCATCCAGCCTCTGTTAAAAGCTTCCAAAGAAGGAGCCTCCACCACACTCCAGGGCAGAGAGTTCCACTGCTGAACGGCTCTCACAGTATATAGATTCAAATCTATAAGAAGAGACCTCATGGGTCATCCAGTCCAACCCCCCTGCCAAGAAGCAGGAAAATTGCATTCAAAGCACACCCGACAGATGGCCATCCAGCCTCTGTTTAAAAGCTTCCAAAGAAGGAGCCTCCACTACACTCCGGTGCAGAGAGTTCCACTGCTGAATGGCTCTCACAGTCAGGAAGAATATAGAGTTGGAAGAGACCTCATGGGCCATCCAGTCCAACCCCCTGCCAAGAAGCAGGAAAATTGCATTCAAAGCACCCCCGACAGATGGCCATCCAGCCTCTGTTTAAAAGCCTCCAAAGAAGGAGCCTCCACCACACTCCAGGGCAGAGAGTTCCACTGCTGAACAGCTCTCACAGTCAGGAAGTTCTTCCTGTCTGTGGCCCATCAGATGATGCTGGATTGAGCTCCTAGTCTCCAGGGCAGCAGAAAATAATAATAATAATAATAATAATAATGGGGTAATAATAATAATAACAACATCAACAACTCTGCAAGGAAGCAGATGAAACAATAGATCCCATCCTCAGCAGCTGCAAGAAGATCACACAGACAGACTACAAGCAGAAGCACAACACCGTTGCTCAGGTGATTCACTGGACTCAGACCGGCTAACAACAGAAAATCAATATACAAACTACAATAAAGGAGATTCCATCTGACCATGAGGAAGAACTTCCTGTGAGAGCTGTTCAACAGTGGAACTCTCTGCCCCAGAGTGTGGTGGAGGCTCCTACTTAGGAAGCTTTTAAACAGTGGCTGCATGGCCATCTGTCGGGGGTGCTTTGAATGCAATTTTCCTGCTTCTTGGCAGGGGGTTGGACTGGATGGCCCATGAGATCTCTTCCAACTCTATGATTCTGTAGGGGCAAAGAAACCAAAATATTTCCCAAAAGGCAGAAGCCCCCTTTCCTTTTTAAAAAAATAATTTTTATTGTTTCATAGTGTATGTAGAAAACAAAACAAATGAACAAAAGGAAAAAATAAACAAAGAAAACATATGCAAAAAATTTACAAAGGAGTCAATATTCAGTGCTCATTAAACATATGTACAATCAGATTTGGTTGTACAATTATTTATACCTTAGCATTACATAAACCTCTATCCCCCACCCGTGAACCCCACCCCCTGACCTCTGAAACCCCTGAAAACAGGATCGCATTACTAAACAACAACTACCCAAATATCTTCTTTCACTGAATCCCCTTTATGGCAATCTTCAAGTTTACCTTTGTCTTCTTTTCCAAATACCCAAGTGCCAGCCTCCATTTGTTTGCAAATTCTTCATTATTTCCTCCTCTGCTGCTATTTGTCAGCTTGGCCATTTGGATATAGTCTGCTAACTTGTCTCTCCAATCTTTAATAGATAACTCTTTTTCCCCTTTCCAAGTTTTGGCTATTATTAGTCTTACCGCAACAAAGCAATATTGACAAATTTCTTCATCTCCTGCACTGATACGCATTCTAAATAATCCTAAAAGGCACATTTCCGGGTTTTTCTTAACTTTTTTGTTAATCATATTGTTTGTTTCCTTCACCACTTTTTCCCAAAATTATTTAACTATATTACACATCCACCATACATGGAAAAATGAACCCTTCGCCTTCTTACATCTCTAGCAAGTTCCTTGTCCTGTTTTCTCTATTTTAGCCAATAATTCTGGAGTTATGTAGGTTCTATAAAACATTTTAAACATATTTTCTCTAATTGAGCTGGCCACTGAAAATTTAAACCCCTTTTTCCACAAATGTTCCCATTCTTCCAAATCAATATTTCTACCTAAATCTTTGGACCACGTAATCATAACAGTTTTTCTCTAGTTATCTATTAAATTGTATTCTAAAATATATTTATAGAGCCTGGATATGAGGCCTTTGTTGCCCTTCTCAAGGATAAGTTCTAACTCTGAATTTTTAGAGGCAATTCCTACCTTTACGTCCTTCCTAAACCTATCATGCAATTGAAAGAAGCAAAACCAATCTTTTATCCCCAATTCTTCTCTACCTTTAAGTGTCCATTGCCCTTTCTCTTTGACTAAATATTCTTCATAAGTTCTAGATTCAGTATGTGTGGCCGGTCTCTGTGCAGCTTCCAGTAGGCGCAGCCATAAGGGGATTTTTGGCTCTATCCCCTTCTTGTAACTTTTCCACATTGCTAAAAGGCTGGCTCTTATTATATGTCTATTTAATTCTTTATTCACCCTGTCCTTTTCATCCCATAGATAGGCATTCCATCCATATCTTAGATTATGACCTTCTAAATTAAGCAATTCCTTATTTTCCAGTCTGATCCAATCCTTTAGCCAAAAGGCAAAAGCTACATGTCACCAGTGCTGAACCTGACTCAGCACATAGAAGATGGTTTTGAAAGGCAGCAGATTACAGGAGCTGTCTTCATAGACCTGCCAGCGGCGTATTTTACTGTAAAATATCACCTTCTCCTGAGAAAAAAATTATAATATAACAAATGACTGCTACCTCACCCGTTTCATAGGAAATCTACAAAACAGGAGCTTTTTGTTGAATTCCAGGGCCAGAGAAGCAGATGGTGTAAACAGAAGAACAACCTGCCTCTGGGGAGCGTGCTCGCTCCATCAATACTTACCATTTACACAAATGATCACACACTTCCAGAAGGGACAGAGAGTTTAATCTATGCTGACGATCATACCATCATCACTCAAACAGAGAGCTTTTAAATTGTTGAACAGAAGCTCTCCAAATAAGCTCTCACTGCCTATTACAGGGAAAACCAACTGATTCCTAATCCATCTAAAACACAGACGTGTGCTTTTCATCTTAAGAACAGGCAAGCATCTCGAGGTCTGAGGATTACCTGGGAAGGTATCCCACTGGTGCACTGCAGCACATACAAATAACAACAACAAAACTTTATTTATATACTGCTCTATCTCCCCGAGGGGACTCATAGCGGTTTCCAAGTAACATCATCAATACATACAGAGTAAACAACATAAGCATAATATTAACAAAACAATATAAGCATAAAATTGTCACAGTAACACATATATATTAAACGTAATCCTACCTATTCAAGACAATTTAGAAGGCCGGGCCAAGGCTAGTGCAAGCTCAAAATTTCTAGGGTGTCCGGGAAATTAAGTACAGTGCTATAGCAGGCAACAACAATAACAGGTACGGTCTATGGCTGTTCATTTCCGGGGCCTATTAGAGGGAGTGACCTGGGTAATTGGTAGGAAGAATAAGGACATATTCAACAATGTCTGAGGCTGAGTTAGAACTAGTCATTCTCAAAGGCTTGTTGAAACCTGGGAGTCACTCTGGACCGTGTTTTGACCTACGAGAAGCACTGCTTGAACATCAAGGAAAAATTAGGTACTAGAAATAATGTCATACGAAAGCTGGCCGGCACAACCTGGGATCACAATCAGATAAAGTGAAGACATCTAAACCTTGTGCTTTGCTACTCTGCTTCCGAGTACACAGGCCATTGTGGGAGTTGGAGTCCAAAACACCTGGAGGGCCAAAGTTTGCCCATATTTGATGTAGATGCAACCTTAGTCTTTTTGGATAGAGACAGCTCACATGTGAGATAGCAGTGCCAAGTTGGTATATGATATGTGAGTCTGCTCTGAATTGGCAGTGACAGCTGGAACAATGTATGATATTTGCTATTTATTTACCACATTTACCACATTCCTAATCCATCTAAAACATAGACGTGTGCTTTTCATCTTAAGAAAAGACAAGCACCTCGAGCTCTGAGGATTACCTGGGAAGGAATCCCACTGGAGCATTGCAGCACACCCAAATACCTGGGAGTTACTCTGGATCGTGCTCTGACCTACAAGAAGCACTACTTGAATATCAAGCAAAAAGTGGGTGCTAGAAATAATATCATATGAAAGCTGACTGGCACAACCTGAAGAACACAACCAGACACATTGAAGCTAACTGCTCATGTGCTTTGCTATTCTGCTGCTGAGTATGTAAGCGCAGTGTGGAACACATCTCACCACACTAAAACAGTAGATGTGGCTCTTAATGAGACATGCCACATTGTCACAGGATGTCTACACCCTACACCACTGGAGAAATTATACTGCGTAGCCAGTATAGTACTACCTGACATCCGTCGGGAAGTAGTAGCCAACAATGAAAGGACCAAGGCAGTGACATCTCTGTCCAGGCCTGTAGCCAGGATTATGATTCAGGGGGAGCTGAGTTTGATTCGGGGGGGGGGGGGGCTTGAGGGGCTACATGCCTGTCTCCATCCCATCTCCTGTTCAGATATCAGCCAGCACACCAACACCTTAATTCAAGAAATAGCTCCCTGAGATCTACAGAGATACTCGCAGGAACACCTCAGCAAGCGAGAGTCCAAAAGTGGCAGGCTAAAACCTGAAACCTCAGACTGAGACTGGATGAGAGACTCCCTCCTGGACACACAGAAGACTGGGCAACTTGGAAGGTGCTGAACAGACTGCACTCTGGCACCACGAGATGCAGAGCCAACCTTAAGAAATGGGTCCACAAAGTGGAGTCCACGACATGAAAGTGCGGAGAAGAGCAAACCACAGACCACCTATTACATTGCAGTCTGAGCCCTGCTACATGCACAATGGAGGACCTTCTTATAGTGACACTCCAAGTGGCCAGCTACTGGCCAAAGAACATTTAGTACAAGTTTTAAACTTTGTGCTTCTAAATGCATTAGAAGTGTACCCTCGGTGTGCTTCTGATACGATGAATAAATCAATAGGGGAAAATCCAAGCAGATTTCCAAGGTCAACTGTCCATTTCAAAACAAACGTGGAGGGTAGCCTCCTATTCCCACCCCCAAAAGTGGGAGGGGAAAAGGCGTTCCTTTTGTATCATGCAAAAGTTTAGGCTCTCTCCTTTCCTTTTATGCGCTCCGATGAAAAGGGGAGACAAGCACTGTTTTGTTTTGTTTTGTTGCAGGTGGGAAACAGCCTGGGGAAATGCATGCAGCTCTCCAAGGTCAACTTCGCCTCGAAAGGAAACGCCACCCCCAAATTTGAGTAGGAAGGAAAGAGAGGGGAGCTGCAGGAAGGGAAAGGAATGGAGAGGTGTAGAGAGGAGGAGGAGGAGGCGCAGGGATGTGCTACAGAGGGACAGATTCTCCTAAAGCAAATGGGGACGTTCCTGCTTTGCGTTTTGCCCATCCACAGCATGCCAAGAGCAACCTGATGCTGTTGCTTCTGCCGCAGGGTTTCAGGGACGTGGGAGAAGCAGCCTCTGGTGGGCTGCCTTCCCTTTCCTGCTGGCAAAGGCAAGGGTGGATCCATGGCTGGCTTGCCACTCTCTGCCTCCGCCCCCAGGTCCTGCCCATTGGTTCCCTGGGTTGCAGCTTCCAGCCTCTTTTGCAAGGAGCCAGCCAAGGGACTGGGAGTTGTGACGCTCCAGAGCAGGATTGGCCATCCCAGGTGTCCAGAACAGAGCCCCCAGCAAAGTCCTGCCCACATTACTACTGACTAACAACTGTTCGTGTGAACACTCGCTGGTGCAAAAGGTTCCATCTTGGCTTTCTTCTGGGGCACAGCAGCTTGCATTGCTGTCTTCCTTCAGGATTGGCCCACAAGCCTTCTGGAGAAAGTTGGCCAATTTAGAGACCCCTGGAGAGCTGGATCTTGCATTGCTGCCTTCCTTCAGGATTGGGCCACAAGCCAGTTGTATTCCTGCCTTCCTTCAGGATTGGCCCACAAATCTTCTGGAGAAAGTTGGCCACTTTAGAGGAAGAGCTGGATCTTGCATTGCTGCCTTCCTTCAGGATTGGCCCACAAGCCTTCTGGAGAAAGTTGGCCACTTTGGAGACCACTGGAGAGCTGGATCTTGCATTGCTGCCTTCCCTCAGGATTGGCCCACAAGCCAATTGCATTGCTGCCTTCCTTCAGGATTGGCCCACAAGCCTTCTGGAGAAAGTTAGCCACTTTGGAGACCCCTGGAGAGCTGGATCTTGCATTTCTGCCTTCCCTCAGGATTGGCCCAAAAGCCTTCTGGAGAAAGTCAACCACTTTGGAGGCCCCTGGAGAACCGGAGGGGCCTCAGGCTAAGCTGGCCCAAGGCAGCAATGCCACACACCCCACGCCAGCGCTTGCAGCCCCGCGCACCAGTATGGTCCGAGACAGAAACGCGGGATTTCCTGGCCCTCTGGGGTGAGCTCCTGATCCTACGGTGGATTGAAAACCGCCCGCCCAACAGTGACATCTACGAAGACCTCTCGGCCCAAATGATGGCCCGAGGTCACGAGCGCAACGCCTCGCAATGTAGGAACAGAGCTCGGGATCTGAAGCGAAGCTACCGGAGGGCCAAGGATGCGCAAGTATGTGCCGGAGCAGAACCAGTGTCCTGTCGCTACTTCCGAGAGTTGGATCGGATGTTCGGAGGTGAAATGGATGGCGTGGCCAATCGAAGCCTGGGCAGCATGGACGGGTCCAGGCGCGTTGTCGTGAAGACCGAAGATGCTGAAGATATGGAGGCCCAAGTCTCTGAGGAAGAGGGCAACCAAATGACGCCACCAAACACGCTTTCGAGCATGGATGCTGACACTGACACAGAAACAGAACCCAACTTGGGTATCTCGCGAGAGCTGGTGGGCTCAGACCCGGATGTGATTGAAACCACAATTGGAGAGGAGTGCTCTGAAGAAAAAACAGTGCCTTTACGCAGACAACCAGTCGCTGGCCCCAGTGAAGATGGGCATCATGTTGCAACTGGTGAGCAAGTGTCCTGGTTGCCACAATGGCTTTCCTCTTGGAGTTTTCTTCCATTTGAGCTGAACCATCTGTTGGAACGCATTTTGAGATGTCAAGCATGGTAGATATTGGTTCTTCAGCAGGTCCAGGATGAATCATGTTGAGGCTCTAAACCAGTGGTTCTCTACCTGTGGGTCCCCAGATGCTTTGGCTTTCAACTCCCAGAAATCCTAACAGCTGGAAAATTGGCTGGGATTTCTGGGAGTTGTAGGCGAAAACACCTGGGAACTCAACAGGTTGAGAACCACTGCTCTAAACTAAATTTTAGAGGACCTTATAGGATCCCCCCCCCCACCCAATAATTATCAAAATTAAGACAGAAAATTAGAGAGAGATACAATAGAAGGTTTTTCAGTATGACAGCTTAAAAAATCAGTGCACATCTTGGCTTCATCAGTAAGATTATAGTATAGGAGATTAAGGGAAATAATAATATCACTTTAATCTACTTTGGTCAGACCTTGCTTGGAATACGGTGTCCAGTTCTGGGCACCACCATTCAAGAAGGATATTGACAAGCTGGCAAGTATCCAGAGAAGGGTGACCGAAATGATCAAAGTCCTGGAAGCCAAGCCCAGGGAAGAGCAGTTTAGGGATATGGCATGTTTTGCCTGGAGAAGAGGTGGTTACCTTAGGCCAGTGGTTCTCAACTTGTGGGTCCCCAGATGTTTTGGCCTTCAACTCCCAGAAATCCTAACAGCTGGTAAACGGGATTTCTGGGAGTTGTAGGCCAAAATACCTGGGGACCCACAGGTTGGGAACCACTGCCTTAGGCAATCCCTTGTAGCCCGAGGATGATGGTCCTCCAAGTGCAGTGTCTTGGTGGTGGGTTCGTAGGTGGCTGTGGAGATCCGCATGTTCTCCTGCAGTGAGGACATCGGTTTCCAGGTGGAAAGCGGTCCCGTGAGGGTTGGCTTGATGCGCCATCCTCTTGGCACGTTTCTCCCTTCTGCTCTTCATTTGTGCCTCTTTGAATTCTGCAGCACTGCTGGTCACAGCCAACCTCCAATTAGAGTACTCAAATGCCAGGACTTCCCAGTTTTCGGTGTCTATGCCACCATTTTTAAGGTTGGCTTTAAGCCCATCTTTAAATCTCTTTTCCTGTCCGCCAACATTACGTTTCCCGGTTAAGAAGGAATATGATAGCTTTGTTTAAATGTTTGAAAGGCTGTCATATGGAAGATGGAGCAAACTTGTTTTCTGCTGCTGAAGGACACATAGCAAAGGATTCAAACTTCAGGAAAACCGAAACATTAGGAAGAACTTCCTACCAGTAACATTGTTTCAGAGTGTGGTGGAGTTTCTTCTCCAGAGATTTTTAAATGGAGACTGAATGGCCATCTATTGGGTGTGCTTTGATTGGGTGTTCCTGAATGGCAGAATAGGTTTGGAATGGATGGCACTTGTGGCTTTTTCCACCTCTATGATTCTGTTTGGTGACTCTTTGCTTTGTATGTGTCCTCACAGTCATGTCATTTTTGTTAAGTGTTGAAATCCCTCATAATCTGAAGCCCTGAAGTATAGCTAAATGGACCAGTACAAACAGAGATAGCTTGCTTAGTGAGTGTTTAAATCCAGCCCTGTGCTTGGATCATAATGGGAGCTGTGGATTTCTGCCCTTTTGGCAGTCCAATTTAGGTCTCCCTTGGGGCACAGTTGTGGACTTGGATTTGTTTTCAAAAGAGGAATCTGGATAAAATTGAATGCTTTGGATGCTCAGTTTGCCAGGAGAGTTATATGGTGCTGTGTGCCTGACTCCAACCAATTTCAGTTCAAAAATGAGTAGGAGGGAGGTGTTAAGTGAGAAATGGACAGGCCTGGGTAGCACTGTGTGGGTGGGCTACACAGATTTTTATCTCAGCAGCCAATCAGAATTTTTGCCCCATATTTTTGGTCCCCCCTTAATAAGACTATTGGACTGTTTCAGGGGGCAGAGAAAAGAGAGGAGGGGCAAGGATGGCAGGAGAAAAGGACTTAAAGTGCTAAAGAAGGATGGGGAAGGTTGTGGGAGAGAAAAGTACAGGAGATGTAAACAGAACAGCTGTACTAATACCAAAGAGCTGAATCATACTTCAATTTAAGTCATTGGCAAACTATTTATGTTCCATGTATTGTGGAAGGCTTTCATGGTCGGAATCACTGGGTTGTTGTGAGTTTTCTTGGCAGTATGGCCATGTTCCAGAAGCATTCTCACCTGACGTTTCACCTGCATCTATGGCAGGCCTCCTCAAAGGTTGTGAGGTCCTCACAACCTCTGAGGATGCTTGCCATAGATGCAGGGGAAACGTCAGGAGAGAATGCTTCTGGAACATGGCAATACAGCCCGGAAAACTCACAACAACCCACTATCTACGCTCCTATTTTATTTACATTTCTAGTTCTCTTGCAACACATTTGTTTCCAGGGTTGTTGTAGTTCCAGAATGGTAAGGATTTATAAAACTTCCGGACATTCAGAGTAAAATCTCAACACCTTATTAGAGCTGAGAAAAGTTGCTCTTTTGGCCACTTTGGCTGGAGATTCTAGGTATTGTACTCCAAAAAGGGACTTTCTTCAAAGTCTGTATGTTGTAATCACATTTTGTGGTTTTATATATTCCCTCCTTACATTGGTCAATATGACAGGACATTTATATGACAGCAATAAACAGCTGTTACTACTGTCTTTTCCTCCATATTACTGGAGGTGTTAATATTATTGTGCTTACTTCATCACACTAGAGAATCAATCTACTTAAAATCCGTTTTCTGCCTCCTGGGGAATTCTGGGGTTTGTAGTTTAGGGAGGCTGTTAAAGGCCCCTCCCTAAACTACAAATCCCAGAATTCTGCAGGAGGCAGAAATCGGATTTTAAGTGGATTCATTCTCTAGTGTGATGAGGTCCATAAATAGGCTATCAAATGCACTGAACAAGTTTAGGAATAATATGCTATTACATGGTAATGTTTTGTCTCAAAGTTACATATATACATATACATGTTTTCTTTGCATCTGCAATTGCTAATGGTATCTTGCAGAAAAAAATCCTTCTACATTGCTTGTGATGGATTGGCCCTTCCATTTTAAATGGGAGAAACAATTATGTTTTTCCCTATTCTTGAGGCATAAAACCTAAAAGGATGGAAGAACATTTTATTTATTTCGTGTCAAGTGCATTGCATAAATAAATTAGTATAAAAATAATAAAATAGATGGAACACAAGTGGCTAAATAATTTTAGACCAAAAACGGGTAACAGCGACCACATTGTCTGTAGCTTTAAACAATTCTTCCTCTGTGCATGAGGCAGGGCATTGTGGGCATGCATACAGGTGCTGAGTTGTTTGGTCTGCTTCACAGTCACACAAAGTAGACGATTTTTCTAGGTAGTGCCATTTTGCCAGGTTGTCTTTTGATCTGCCCACTCTGCTTCTAAATCTGTTCAGGGACACTTCATGTTTTTTGTCGCTCTACTCCAGTGGTTCCCAACCTTAGCCTTCAACTCATAGAAAACCTAACACTGGTAAACTGACTGGGATTTCTGGGAGTTGTAGGCCAAAACACCCGAGCACCCACAGATTGAGAACCACTGCTTTGCTCAGAGCTAAGTTACTGTACTCACATTGACCCATGAATGTTTGGATTGCTACAGGAAGTGAGAGAAATCTACCCCTCAGAAGGGAAATGCACTCCTAAAAGAGTTATCATAAGGAAAGGGGGTTGCCACTGAAGCTTTCTCACCAATCCTTGTTTCCACAACAAGCCAAATTTTTCAAAGTCCAATTATCACAGGGACAGAAAGTGAGGTAAATCTTCTGAACAGGGCACAGACAGCAAAACAAACACCACAGGGGGGTTGACCCATTCATTTGCTATTTTTGCCTGGTGTAACACCTTAAAAATGTACTTGTTCCAACTTACAAACAAATTCAACTTAAGAACAAACCTAAAGAACCTATCTTGTTCAAAATTTGAGGACTACCTGTACTCCAAAATCCAAAATTGTTCACATTGGTGGCTAAAATAGTAGCACCTTTGCTTCAATATACATACATTTTGTTTCATGCACAAAAGTATTAAAATATGTATAAAACTGCATGCAGGCTATGTTTGCAGTGTGTAGATGAAACATAAATGAATTTTCTTTTTAGACTTGAGTCACATTTCAAAGATATTGCATTATTTACACATATAATAAGGTAAAGGTTTCCCCTGACATTAAGTCTAGTCGAGTTCAACTCTGGGGACTGATGCTCATCTCCATTTCTAAGCCAAACAGCCAGTGTTGTCTGTAGACGCCTCCAAGGTCATGTGGCTGGCATGACTGCACGGAGCACCATTACCTTCCCACCGGAGCGGTACCTATTGATCTACTCACATTTGCATGTTTTTGAATTGCTAGGTTGGCAGGAGCCTGGCTAACAACGGGAACTCACCCTGCTCCCCAGATTCGAACTGCTGACCTTTGGGTCAGCAAGTTCAGCAACTCAGCAGCTTAACCCGCTGTGCCACTAGGGGGCTTAATGTACACATATACAAATACAGATATTCCAAAATCCAAAACACTTCTGGTCCCAGGCATTTTGGATAAGGGAAACAACCTGTACAATTTCTGCTACTCTTTGTTTGCTTATCCTTGTAGCTTTGTCCACTGGTTGGAGAATTGAATTTGGTTTTTAAAAATTACATATTTTGGATCCCTAACCAGATCTGTTTGCCTTTGCAGGCCGGGGTAGACGGGAGAATAGCCTCGGGCGTCCTCTGACGACAGCAGAGAGAATGGCATCCATGCGGGAGAGGAAGCGGCGGTCACATGAAGAAATGATGCATGAGATCATGACGGACTACAGGAGGACCTGGGAAACCATGGAGGCACTTCACGAAAGAGGCGAAGTTAGTGCTGGGGAGTTTCGAGAAGCAATGCTGAGGGAAATGCTTCTGGATCGAGAAGCTCGGACCCGAGAAGCCCAGCTCGATCGGGAATCCCGGGCCCGGGAGGCCCAGTTGGACCGAGAGGCGAGGGCCAGGGACAGCCAACTGGAGAGGGAGATCAGGATTAAGGAGCTCAACATGATCGAAGCGGAGTTGCAGCGCACCAGGGATCTCCTCCATCCCATGGTTGACGCTGTGGTTTCCGTTGCTGAGATCTTGCGTACAACGGGCAATAAACTACGACAGTCTTGTCAACCGAACCAAAGTGAAGAAGGTCCCTTTTTGGAATTGGGAGAGAACAAATAGTTCCTCACCCCGTGTTTTCTTTGGGCAATAGTTTATAGTGACTGTGTTGGACAAAATACAGGGAGGACAAGTTGGGAGATGGTGAGAAGATGACACCTTCAAGTGTATGAAACTCTAAACGATGCTGGTTACATTTGGAAGGAATTATCTCCTCTCTTGTAACAAGTGCAGCTGCTCCAGTTCATTATAATTTAAGAAAAATAATGTAATACTAGATTATTTGAGGGGGGGACCCCAAAAGGAGCTTGTCAATCCAAATTTTCTCTTTTCTAATGTTGACCAGTGCCAAAAGCTAAATGGCTTGAGTATCTGGCAACATTTCCGAGAGCATTCTCCCACAAACTAGTGCTTGAAGAACTTACCTTTTTGGATTCCAACCCCCAGGATCCCCCACCTAACGTGATGAGTAGCGATGCTGCCTGGAGGGGATTCTAGGGGTCTGAATACAGGAAAAAGGCTTTCCCAAACTCTGTCAGTAACACAATTTCTAGTACAAAATTTATTTGAAATTGAGAATTGGTTCTGTAACTGTGCATTATTTCCCATCACAGGTGTATTATTTCCATTCCAAATCTTCATAAGCAAGATTACATTCTTTTATCATGTGGAGACGAACTATAGTGCAGAACTCCTGACATTATCCCCTGTTTGAACCCTTCTGAGAGAGGAGATTCCATCTGAACATGAGGAAGAACTTCCTGACTGGGAGAGCCGTTCAGCAGTGGAAATCTCTGCCCCGAAGTGTGGTGGAGGTTCCTTCTTTGGAAGCTTTTAAACAGAGGCTGGATGGCCATCTGTCAAGGGTGCTTTAAATGCAATATTCCTGCTTCTTGGCAGGGGGTTGGACTGGATGGCCCATTAGTCTCTTCCAACTCTATGAATCTATGATTCCATGATTTTGAGAGCTACTGTGGTGGGTATGGTTTTTTGATAATGAAAAACTGATGAAATTTAAAATGGATTGGTATGAAACTGTTTAGATGTGGAAACTGGGAATGAGGCACTGGGTTGTGTATAAATATAGAACTTTCTCCAGAAACCAAGGGCTTATATAGCAACTGAATTTTTTTAAGCTCATTGGATTTGGATCAGTACTGGCAGAACTGTCCAATAATTTAGCTCTTACAAAGATATTAAATCAGATTGGGTTTCGAATGAATTCAGTTACAGAATGGAACTTGTTCCATAAAGTTTTTTTTAATGTGAATAAAGTTTTATGAGAAAACCTTTGTGTGAATGATGTTTTTTCCACTTTGCAATACTTTAATTATTCATAGCTTAATTACTATGACCAGGGGTGCATCTACACCAGGTATGGATAAACCCAGACCTGGGGGCTGGATGCGGCCTGTTGGGCTCTTTTCTCAGGCCCTCCTCTCTCACACCATCCTATCCTTCCTTCCTCCTTCCTCTTTCTCATTCCTTCCTTTTCTCTTTCTTTCCTCCGTCTCTCCCTCTTTCTCCTTCCTTTCCACCCTTTCATACTTTCTCATTCCTTCCCTCTTCCACCCTCCTTCCTTCCCTTACACCCTTTCATCCTTCCCTTTCTCCCTCTTTCCTTCCCTCCCTTTCATCCTTCCTTTTCTCTTCCCTTCCCTTTTCATCTTTCCCTCCTTCCATCACTTTTATCTTTCCTTCCTTGTTACCTCCCTCTTTTCCCTTCTACCTTTCTTTCCTCCCTCCCTCCCTCCCTCCTTCCCTTCCACTCTTTTGTCCTTCTTTCCTTCCCTCTCCCCCTTCCTTCTTTCCCTTTTTCTTTCCTTCATTCTTTCTCTTATCCTTCCCTTCATTCATCTTTCCCTTCCTTCCTTCCTTCCAGTTCTCCGTTCCATCCTTTTCTTCTTCCCTTTCTTCCTTCTTTCCTTCCTTCCATCCTTCCCTTCTTCCCTTTTGTCCTTTCTTCCTTCTCTGTCCTCCTTATCTTACTCCCTTCCTTCTCTTTTTCCTTCCTTCCTTCCTTCCTTCCTTCCTTCCTTCCTTCCTTCCTTCCTTCCTTCCTTCCTTCCTTCCTTCCTTCCTTCCTTCCTTCCTTCCTTCCTTCCTTCCTTCCTTCCTTCCTTCCTTCCTTCTAGTCCTCCTAGCAGGGAGTGCAAGCACGCAATCCTCAAGTTAGAAAGTTTGCCCATGCCTGATCTACACTGTATAGTTAGTACAGTTTGACTTTAACTGCCATGACTCAATGCTGTAGAATGCTATGGCACAAGCACTCAGTGGCTGAGAAGACTAAAGACTTCGTGAACTATAGCTCCCATTGTTCCATAGCATTGGGCCATGGTGGTTAAAGTGCTTTCAAACTGCATCTATGGTGTCAATGTATAGGCTACTCTAATTTACAGTATATCATGGGTGTTTTTTTAAAGAAGTGCTTGCCTCAAAGAAGTGAGTCAATCTACATGCTGCAGCACACATATTTCCAATGTTATAACTGGGAGGACAGAGACTGGTCTCATATGGGAAGATAATAGCAACTGCATTCACAATGAGGCATTATAGGATTTCTAAAAAAAATCCTAGGGCTTGGGTTGTTGGCAGATACCAGTTTAGATCAATGCCAGAAAAGTAAAACAAAGAATTTAGTGGCACAGACAAAATTATTTAACCTAAGGTTTTGTAGATTGCTGCCTACTTTGTCAAACGCCTGAGGATTGTCTTAGCTGACTGTTATTTTTCTATGTGGGAGGGAGATGTGTAGGAAGATCAGAAGTAGGCAAAGTGTACTTCATGTCAGGCTCACTTTTTTTGGCCTTTTGGCACGACACTCTGAAAATGCAGGTCTCTCTTTTATTCAATACTGAAGGCATTGACATTTGAAGCTATTTGTTTTTTTGCTTTTCAGCATCTGATATGGGGAGTCATATAGAATTGGCACCACAATTCTTACTGTAGGAAATATCTAAGAAAATATATAACTTTTTGAGTCTAATACAAAATAAAGCTTGTTAATTCCTATGAAGCTTTATTTGGCATAAGATTTTGTGGATGACAGCTCCATGTAATTTTATGCAAAGAGTGCAGCTTCAGTTGGCAGAACTTTAGACACGCTGGGTAGGGAATGTGAGTGAACAGAAATGCAAAAATTACAAGCATTGATGGTTATCTCAACTACAGTCATTTACCAAGCAGTCTTCCAGAGATGCCAAGGATAACCTGGCACAGATAAACAGATTAACACATGGAAAGCGATGAAAAGTCTTTGCCCAATCCAATTACAGGGTAGATTTAATCTCTAGATTAGGGAGTCCTTCAGATATTGTTGGCCTGTAACTCCCAGCATTCTTGAGCACTGGCTATGCTGATGAAAGATGCAGTCCATCTTCTATATCCTAGAGATCAAGGGTGGACAATTGTTAGGGGCCAGAAAAGCCATAGATTTAGAGGACCACATTCTCTTTGACCACAGACCAATATACAGTGCTATTAAGTACTTTATAAGGTTGGATAACATATTTCAGCTAGTGGCTATTTGCACTACATTAAAGCAATGTAGAATCTCAACAAAGTCTCAAATGCTGGTGGGATTGAGGGAGGGTTGATTTTGTCATTTGGGAGTTGTAGTTGCTGGGATTTATAGTTAACCTACAATCAGAGAGCATTCTGAACTCCACCAATGATGGAATTGAACTAAACTTGGCACACAGAACTTCCACAAACAACAGAAAATACTGGAAGGGTTTGATGGGTATTCATCTTGAATTGTGGAATTGTAGTTCATCTACAGCCAGAGAGCACTGTGGACTCAAACAATGATGGATCTGGACCAAACTTGGCACAGATCCACAACATGCCGAAATGTGAACACTGGTGGAGTTTGGGGGAAATAGCCCTTGATATTTGGGAGTTGTAGTTTCTGGGATTTATAGTTCACCTACAATCAGAGAGCATTCTGAACTCCACCAATGATGGAATTGAACCAAACTTGACAAACAGAACTCCCACGAACAACAGAAAATACTGGAAGGGTTTGGTGGGCATTGACCTTGTTTTGGAGTTGTAGTTCACCTATATCCAGAGAGCACTGCGGGCTCAAGCAATGATAGATCTGGACCAAACTTGGCATGGATCCTCAATAAGCTGAAATGTGAACACTGGTGGGATTGGGGTAGGAGGTTGATTTCATCATTTGGGAGTTGTAGTTGCTGGGCTGTATAGTTAACCTAAAATCAGAGAGCATTCTGTACTCCACCAATGATGGAATTGAACCAAACTTGGCACACAGAACTCCCATGACCAACAGAAAATACTGGAAGGGTTTGATGGGCATTGACCTTGTTTTGGAGTTATAGTTCACCTACATCCAGATAGCACTGTGGGCGCAAGCAATGATGGATCTGGACCAAACTTGGCACAGATCCTCAATATGCCCAAATGTGAACACTGGTAAGAGTTTGGGGAAATAGACCTTGACATTTGGGAGTTTTAGTTTCTGGGATATATAGTTCACCTATTTAATATTTATTTATTTATTTACTGCATTTGTATATTGCCTTTCTCAGCCCGGAGGCGACTCAAGGCAGTTCACAGTCGGCAGCGATTCGATGCCTTAGCAATTATAAAAATACAATTAAAAACAATTAAAACATTTAAAATGTGATATAAAAATACAACCTGTCAAAACAAAATCATCAGCGTCTCCTGACTAAAAATAAAGGTTGTCCCCTGACATTAAGTCCAGTCATGTCTGACTCTGGGGTGTGGTGCTCATCTCCATCTCTAAGCCGAAGAGCCGGCGTTGTCCATAGATACCTCCAAGGTCATGTGGCCGGCATGACTGCATGGAGTGCTGTTACCTTATTTATTTATAGCTTTTATATTCCGCTCTTCTCACCCCGAAGGGGACTCAGGGCGGATTACAGCGTACACATATATATGGCAAACATTCAATGCCAATTTTGACATACAACATATACAGACATAGACAGAGGCTATTTAACTTTTTCTGGCCGCCAGGGGAGCTGTGGCTTTCATCGTCCATCTGCGACACTGATGAAGTACTTCCGCATTCCCCGCATGCTTTTTGTTGGAGTGCTTGCTGGAGTCTTTTTTTTAATGGCCTCATAAATTAGTTAATTTAGCCTCCCCACACTTTAAGGTGGTACCTAATTTTCCTACTTGACAGATGCAACTGTCTTTCGGGTTGCAAAGGTCGACAACAGGCTACACAATTGGTTGGAAACCCACTCCAACCCGGGCTGGCTTCGAACTCATGACCTTTTGGTCAGAGTGATCCTAATGCAGCTGACACTCAGCCAGCTGCGCCAAAATCCTGGTGCACCTGCGCCACCTTTCCGCCGGAGCGGTACCTATAGAACTACTCACATTTGCATGTTTTCAAACTGCTAGGTTGGCAGAAGCTAGGGCTAACAGCGGAAGCTCATGCTGCTCCCCGGAATCGAACCTGCGACCTTTCGGTCAAGCAGCTCAGCGCTTCAACGCACTGCGCCACCAGGGACTCTTCCTGACTAAAATCATTGTCCAATTGCATCGTCAGTTTTTCCATATTTTCATTTTCGCCTAATTATGCTACATTAGTGAAAGCTTGCTCGAAGAGCCAGGTCTTAACCTTTTTTCCAGAAAGTCAGAAGGGAGGGGACTGATCTTATATTATTATTATTTATTATTATTTACCTTACTTATATACCGCTGTTCTCAGCCCGAAGGCGACTCACAGAGGTTCACAACAAATACGAACAGCAAAAATTCAGTGCTACAGTATAGAAACAGTTAACAACCTAACACATTACACATTACACATTACACGACCCATTCACTGTCGTCTCGTCATCAAAAACATGTTCCAGATTCGTCATCCATTGTTCCATTCCAGTGTTCATTAACCAATCATTGCACTAATTATTCGAACGCCTGCTCAAACAGCCAGGTCTTCACTTTTTTGCGGAATACCATTAGAGATGGTGCTAGTCTAATGTCCATAGGAAGGGCGTTCCACAGCCGAGGAGCCACCACCGAGAAGGCCCTATCTCTCGTCCCCGCCAGCCGAGCTTGAGAAGCAGGCGGGATCGAGAGCAGGGTCTCCCAGGAAGATCTCAAAGTCCTGGTGGGTTCATAGGCAGAGATGCGGTCGGATAGGTAGCTTGGGCCGAACCGTTTAGGGCTTTAAAGGCCAACGCCAGCACTTTGAATTGAGCCCGGTAGCAGATCGATAGCCAGTGGAGTTGGCGCAACGGGGGGTTGTATGCTCCCTGCGCTCCGCTCCTGTTAAAATCA